ACCCATACTGAGCTTGGTGTAGGTAATTCTCAGCACTATTCTGTATACTATGCATGGTGGTAAAATTGTCTATTGCAATCCATGCATTTCACTTAGATGATCAGAATTAGTTATGTGCTCTCACTGGCTTGCTAGTTAGGTTTTTTTTGATGAACACTTCCAACTCAAGTGAATAGCATTTTCCAAAACTGTAAAATCTAATATATGAAATTCATGTGACATATCTCAATATTCAATGCCAAGTTTTTCATCAAAATTTAATCTGAGAAATGATTCAAGTCTTTAATGCAACTTAAAAATTACACAACAAATAAGCAAGATACAAAGCAAGATGCTGACAAAGGAATGCAGATCTGAATCATTCAAAACAAGTCATTGTCAATGACACGTCCCCGTTCCGTTCATATTTGAGTGACATATACATTCAAAGCAGATCATGACCGAAATGCACCTGCATATGTACAACACATTGTACTAAATCTGAACAAAATCCATCCATGCATGACTGAGATCTGGTTCCGGAATTGTGAAAATACATGATTTTAATGCATTTTCGGTCTTAAAATGGCCATCATTCAGCTATTGTTAAGCGGATCATGAAACAAATGCACATATCTATTTGTGACATGATGCACCATGTGTGTGTGAAGTTTGAACTTGATCAATCCAGACATGTCTTGGATACGGATCCAGAACTGAATTCTTTAAAATGGCCGCCAGTCGGCCATTTCGAACTTGATCCGGAAAAAAAAAAGACGTGCATCAAGGTCCTATTATGTTTAATGTAAGTACCAAATTTGAATGAAATCCGTCCATGCATAACTGAGATCCGGGTTCGGAATGGTGAAAATGTGTGATGTCAATGCATTTTCGGCCTTAAAGCGGCCGCCATTTGGCTATCGTTAATGGGATCATGAAACAAATGCACATACATATTTGTGACATGATGTACCTTGTGTGTGTGAAGTTTGAACTTGATCAATCCAGACATGTCTCGGATACGGATCCAGAACTGAATTCTTTAAAACAAAATGGCCGCGAGTCGGCCATTTCGAACTTGATCCGAAAAAAAAAATGACGTGCATCAAGGTCCTATTATGTTTAATGTATGTACCAAATTTGAACGAAATCCGTCCATGCATAACTGAGATCCGGGTCCGGAATGGCGAAAATGTGCGATTTTGATGCATTTTCGCCCTTAAAATGGCCGCTATTCGGCTATCGTTAATCGGATCATGAAAAAAATGCATGTGCATATGTCCCATATAATGTGTGATGTATGAGTGAAGTTTGAACATAATTGGTCCATGCATGTTCGAGATACAGGTGATCACGGACGGACGCACGGACGGATGGACGGACGGACGGACGCACACAGGGCAAAACATAAGTCCCCGTTTTCGGACTCCGTCCGAACGGGGACTAACAAGCCATGCATGGCACAGTCCCCGTTAGTTATCAAATTTAAGATATATAGTTTTGTTTATAGTAATATAGCTGGAATATAACCATGTCAGGAATATGATTTTTTAACATTAAAATGATTGACATTTGTATCTGATCGTCAAAAAAGTACTTGTCCATATTGAGAGATATTGCTCTGGAACAGAATTCAAAATCAGCCATTTTGAATACATGTATATATATAACATGATGTATAACGAATATATAAAATTTAAATATAATAAGAGATATGGCTCTAGAAGCCCAATCTTTAAAACAAAATGGCTGCCAGTCAGCCATTTTGAATCCAATCTGAATCAAAGAAAGCTTAGAAAGAACTCCCATGCGCTGAGAGTATTGGAGACACATTAAAAATAATTCGAAATTACTTGTACTTGTACTTGATTGAGATAGTGATGGAAAAGCTTGAAACTAATAATGCAAATCAGAAAGTTAATATGAACAGATTTGAATGTAAAACTAATGAGGTCTGCGCAATGTAACAGACCATCTATGTACCAAGTTTTATTGAAATGTGATTGGAACCAAAAAAAAACTATGAATTATTATGCCAATTAGGGAATTAATATAAACAGATTTTCACCCCAAACTAATCAGGTTTGTACATTGTCCTAGAGCATCTTTGTACTAAGTTTCATTGAAATGGAATCATTAGTAATTTAGATATCAGTGTAATAGCTTAAAAGTTGTTAATTATGCAAATTAGTAATTAATATGTACAGATTTTAACCCACAATTATCCATGTACAACGTTTCATTGAAATGTGATGATTAGTACTTGAGAAGTCAGTGGAAAAAACAAAAAATGACTAATCATTATGCAAATTAGATAATTAGTAATTAGGTAATTTTTACCAAAAACTGATCAAAACCTAGCATTAGTTTAGAGCATCTATGTACCAAGTTTCATCAAAATCTAATGTATGGTTATTGAGATATCAGTGGAACAGACAAGCACACACATACACACACACACACATACATACAGACACGCTAATTGCAAAGACTTCCATTTTGTGCTTCGCACATGGGAGTGAAAAATAAAATGACGAGCATCAGGAACCCATAATATCTAATGTATGTACCAAGTTTGAACGAAATCCACCCATAAATGCTTGATATTTGATGATTTTTTAGCACAAAAATGACCACCATTCGGCCATTTTGAATAGGATAGTCAAACCAATATATCTGTCTATCTATGACATGATGTATAATGAATATTTAAAATTTGAACATAATCAGTGAAAGCAAGTCAGAGATATGGCACGAGAACCACATTCATTAATACAAAATGGCCGCCAGTCCGCCATTTTTAATCTTATCTGAAAAACTAAATTATTTGCAGCAAGATCCCATAATGTCTAATATATATACCAAGTTTGAACAAAATCCATCTGTAAACAGCCGAGAAATGGTTGATTTTTAGGATTTTTTAGCACAAAAATGACCGCTATTCAGCCATCTTGAATCAGATCATAAAACAAAATGATGTGCATCAAGGTCCTATAATGTCTAATGTATATACCAAGTTTGAACAAAATCCATTTGTAAACAGCCGAGAAATCCTTGATTTTGATGCTTTTTAGCACGAAAATGGCCGCCATTCGGCCATCCTGAATCAGATCGTGAAACAAATTGACGTGCATATGTATAATATCATGTATGATGTATGTGTGAAGTTTGATTGTGATTGGTCCAGGCATTTCTAAGATACAGGTCCAGACACACACACAGACGCATGCACACACGCATGCACACACGCACGCACACACGGAGGTCAAAACATAAGTCACCGTTTTCGGACTGCGTCCGAGCGGGGACTAATTAATGAAACACTTTAAGACGTGTGAATGAGTCTTTTCTTGTTCAATAATAAACAAAACTGAAATGAGCCAAATGAAAAAATGTGATAACACATCACTTAACTTTCAGTCTCTACAGATACCCAGAGAGGATGTGAAATCAAAGAAGACTTAGAAAGAACTCCTTGTATTGAATATTGATTGTTGAAGAACAATTAAAGTTAATTTAAGATTAGTCTTTCAAACAAGAAGCTTGGCAACCAATATTTGTCTGCTACTGTAAAAAGGTTAATTATTCACTGGGTTTTAATTTTGTTTATTTCGCTGACTGGAAAATGCACTAAATTAAAACCCAGTGAATATGTAAAATTTAGCAAAAAACACATTATCTAAATGATAAAACTGTGAATTTAAAACCCACTGAATATGCCTGACATGGTAAATCAACACAATTTTAACCCAGTGAAAATTAGTAATTTTATAGTATTTAAGATTGCACATGAAAACTAAGTAAACCATATTATCAAAATTTATAAAATAGAAAATACCTCTGTGAAAAATTCCATTTAAATCTGATTTTTTTAGAAATCAGAAATAATCAATTAGATAATTAATTATGTATGTTTTTCAACATAAAACTAATCCTGTCTGTGGATCACTCCAATGAACCAAATAAATTATTACGCAAGTTAATCAATTATTATGCATACATTTAGGTATGTGTATTGTTCCAGGGTGCACATGTACCAAGTTTCATTATAATGAATAATTCCCTCCATTACCTGGTAGATAATTATTATGGATATATATAAACCCAAAACAAATTAGACCATTGCATTGTTTATATATAAGTACCAAGATTCATTGAAATAAGATGATTGAGTGCTTGAGATATTGATGGAAAAGCTGAAAATTTGATAATTATGCAAATTAGGTTATTAATATGCAAATATTATTAACCTAAAATCTGTGCATTGTCCTATTACATCTATGTACAAAGTTTCATTGAAATGTGGTGATTAGTACTAGTGATATCAGTTGAAAATGTCAAAAATTGACTAATCGGTATGCAAATTAGGTAGTTAATATGCAAGGATTTTTACCTAAAACTTATTTCACTTATTTCCCCCTGTTCGTAACTGTGCATGTCTGGACAGTCTTGCGCATACAGGCATGTTGACTAGTAGGACCCTTGTCATTAGGTGTCAGAGATATGGCTCAGAATCATCATTCTTCGAAAAACAAAATGTCCACCTATCGGCCATTTTGAATCTGATTTGAAAAACAAAATGACTTGCATCTAGCTCTCATTATGTTCAATGTATACACAAAGTTTGAATGAAATTTCCCCAATGCAGTACCAAGATCATCTGAACATCTGAAAAATTATATAACCATAATATTGCTTTTGTTAATGGCAGGATCCAAGTTGTGAGCGTCGGTTGTTGGGTGATTGGCATTCGCCACACAAACCTAAACCACTGACCCTCAACACCGTGAGATGCCTAGACAAACACCAGAATGCTGTGTTGTGACTTTGAAATGGATTGCGAACCTCCAATAAAGAAAACATGATCTTTAAGTTTAAATTGTGACCAGCTAGATGAGATTGAGGGATTCAAGAACCAAAAAAATGCAAAAAACTACGAGCCACAGGCAAAAATGCATGCCACCAATAACAACCGGTGTCCCGTAGCTGACAAAATTGCAGTGAAATTACACCCGAGTTATTTCCATTTGTTTCAAAGAACACAGGTCAATGCAGAATTCCACAACGATATATAGAATTGTAATTCTCCACTATGGGTAAGATTTGTGCCGAGTGTACACCAACCACTGTATTAGAGCGACGGCGTACACAGTCTTTCTTTCGGCCGGAGTTGAGAAAAGGCATATCATGTACGTGTCACATAAGATGCGAGAATCCGATCTTACATTATCAAACAACGATAAAACTTGTCAGTCATACTGTCAAAACATCTGGTTATACCAAAGATGTATCCAGGTCTGTTGTTACATGATACACCACACAACCACGTACCGTCACGCCTCAAACTTTGGTCGAGCCAAGTACCGCTGAACATCAAATATCCACAGTTACAAGTAGTATGATGAGTCCCAAAACTTGTTTATTTCACTAATGTACTTTCAATTGGCAAATTGTACAAAAACCGGAATGAAAACGTGGAAAAATCATTGTTTTAACGATCCAAACTGTACTTAACCCTGTATTTCAAATGGCGTTGACACAGTCAGTAAAAGGTCAAGAAAGTCATCTTTTATTATGCTAATTTTTGTGTTTATGCTATTCAATTTGAATTGTGTTGCGTATGTAATTTTTGTATGCATTCAGTGTACAACTACATACTATTCTTATAAATATTCATGTTCAAGGGCCATAATCATGATCTTATAGTAGATGCCAGTAAACTATTTTTTTTACTAGTTTTATCGAATTGTCAATATATATTATAATATATACTGGTATAATATAATAGCTTGATATTGCACAATTCACTCCATATATGCACTCGCCTACGGCTCGTGCATTGTGCAATATCTTGTGGTATACCCGCCTTCGGCGGGGGGTTATTGCTTAAATATATTAGTGCATTTTGAATGTGAACAATCCAGGCATGCTTAAAATACAGAAGTGGACAAATGGATTAATGGATTGATGTTCTTGGATGTTGTTAGAACATGGATTAACAACAATATTATAAACATGTTTAAATAACAAGTCGATCACTGTCAGTTTGTTTGTATTTTGTTAAATTTGCATTTGAGGACACATAAGAGAGAAAGAGTAAAAAAAACTGCCCAGGTGCACTGGCATGTGTAAAGATGAAAATCGTCCAGCAGAAGACGCACCAGCTGTAGATGAACCACAACAATCTGCAGTGTGATCCAGTGTTTGTATAATGTTGTTGCCTGGCAGTATTTTCAGCTAGGTCTTAAAAATTATGACCTCCACAGTTTACATGTAACATTCTACACATGGTGACATTGACATGCTTACTCTACAATAAATTCTGTTCACCCAAAGTTTAACTGGGTTGGGTTGATTCCCCCGATAGTGATACAACCACTGTTTAATCAGTGCTAAAAACTGACCAACTTACTAATAGGAAAGTTGATATCTTACCTTAGAGTCATAGTATGGGTTGATGTCTGGAATAGGAAAGGTGACGTTAAGATTTCTGATATCTTTCACAGGAACTACATCGCATCGTAACTAACAAGAAAAAACAATGCATGATAAGGATAGATACTGAAAAAATTACAAAATAATTGAGATCAGACATATTAAATAAAAGTTCTCTTTGATAATTAATTGTTAAATATACTGATTAGCTGATTAAGGATAGTAGAGGATCAAGTACCTGGCGCGAAAGCAATGGTCACATTATGAACGCGAGTCAGACTGAGTTTAATGCGACAAAGGATATATTGACAGTGAAGACGCCCCCAAAACTAGAAAAACTTAGCATGTTGGCTGAAAAACTTTGCAACCAAGTTTGTGGTTATCACATTCTTCTGATTCGAGCCAGGAAGTTGAAACTGATAGTGTCAAGGGGTCCTTTAGATTTGTGGAACTCGACATTCTTAATAAAAAAATATAAGGAACTGTTGGGGTGAGCTCTCCGCGTTTGGTGTGACAGTGGTAAGCTACAGATAGAAGAGTTGTCAAGGCAAGGATAGGGGTCTCATTTCATATTCACTTGTTTGAATCTAGAATGCAGCCCCAAACTAATCGTCTGTTTCCCCCAAACAAGAAAACCCGTTTCAAGCGGGCGATAGGGAAAGGTCACCAAGAATTGATTAAATTTGCCTCATATTCGGGTTTACCCAATGATTTCCTATAATCTAGTATTCTACTGATAACTGAAAACTTCCATTGACCCGAGTCCAAAATTTCATAGTACACAAGTGCAACCAAACTACATGTATGTCTCATACATGTATACATGCTCAAGAAACTGCATTCATAAATCTGAGTAAACCTTGATGTACATGTACCTTTAATAACAATTTGACTTCTTTGTTAATTCAGGTCTTTGTATATTACCAGGACCTGGGTTTATTTCAGTATCACCACTATAATTCCCATCAAAATCTAGCCCTGACACCCCTATTAGGTAACTTTTGATGAAAATCATGAAAAAGACCCACTTAGGATTTTCAAATCTGGAAAAAAAATTTATGCTTATTCGGCAGAGACTTATTCATCAACCTGCCAAGTTTCATTGATATCTGCTGCAGAATTTCCGAGAAAATGTTAGAGATGTCACAGGCGGAAACCAGAAATAAGAAACTATACTCCTCTTTTCAGGCTGTGCCTGAAACGGCGACTAACAAACTTAAAATTAAAAGATGCCAAAAACTAAAACAAAAATTTGACTCAACAGACAAAGAAGAAAATTCTAGAATGTGATCAGTGAGTATACAAGGAAAAAACAAAACAACACAGCTAATATACCATATGATGAATGGGTCAACTATTTCTAAGGTATAAAGTAAATTTAACAACAACACAGCTTTAGGAAGTATTTAGATAGAGTTACAAGCAGAGGAATGCAAAAAAAAACTGAATACAAGGCTGAATATCATATCAAGAAGTGAAACTAGCTGTTAAAAATCTGAAAACAAAGAAATGAGCCGACATGGACAGTATACCATCCGAAATACACTATACAAATTATTCAACATTATATTACCCAGAAATAAATATCAAGACTGAGTATCATCACCACCTACCTCATCACACCTATACACAAGAAAGGTGACATTCACAATTATAGGGGGATTTCAACTAACAGTGTTGTTGGAAAACTCTTTTCAATGTTTCTGAATAATCACTTAACATGTTGCCTTGAAGAAAACAATTACATTCATGAATATAAAGCTTGATTCAGTAAAAATCATAGAACAGTAGATATGCTGACACTACCCATATTAATTAAACAAGCAGCCTTGTCGGCTGAGATAGCTCCACTGTTAGATATGCACATTTCAATTAAAGAACAGAAGATATCATGAGAAAATGAACAATATGTATAGTATCAAAGCAAGGGGACTTGCTGTTTTCAACAAGAATTCGAAAATATCACTTTTCACCAAAAATGACAAAAAATATTCATTAAAATTAGATAATTGTAGATACATATGTATCATCACAAAATGAACAAATCTTACAAATTCACCTGTATATGTAATATCAAAGCAATCAGACATGTGGTTTTTAACAAGAAGTCAACAAAAATTACAAAAATATTCACTAAAATTAGAGAATTAAAGATATCATTACAAAATGAACAAATGTGAGAGAGGTCTACATTTAGTACCTATATGTATAATATCAAAGCAATTGGACCTGTTGTTTTCAAAAAGATGAAAATACCACTTTTTAGCAAAAATGACAAAAATATTTACCAAAATTAGAGAATTAAAGAAATCATCACAAAATGAACAAATCTGAGCGCGGTCCACATGTAGTACCTAAATATGTAAAATCAAAGCAATTAGACTTTTTACCAAAAATGACAAAAATATTCATCAAAATCAGAGAATTGAAAATATCATCATGAAATGATGATGAGGTCTACCCAAGGTACACCAAGTATCAAAGCATTCAGGCTTGTAGTTTTCAAGAAGAAGTCGAAAAAGTAAAATATTGACACGGATGACGCCGAACGCCAACGGACATTCACTCATATGATATGCTCGACGGCGCAGCTAAAAATACCAATCAAAAACAAAAAATATATACAAGCTTTATTGATCTAAAAAAAAAGCTTTGATTCAATATGGAGAGAAGGACTTTTTCTAAAACTTTTACAAAAAAAAATATATCTGGGAACTTTTACAAAACAATTACAAATATGTACAAAAAAATGTCATTCTGCATGAAAATAGATGATAAAGTATCACCTAAATTCAGGATAGAGGAAGGCGTGAAACAAGGCTGCCCACTAAGTCCTACATTATTTAGTTTATTTAATGACTTGATGAAAGAACTAAATAAAATATGTACTGAAAAACACCACCTAGCATTCTGTAGACACCTATTAAATGTAAACAAGAAGACCAGAAACATTGGTACAAGGATAGAACTCTGACGATTACCGTCGATTGTCAAAATACAACTCCAAGCAAGTCAGCTTGATGTACTAATGAACAAACAGAAATATTCTTAGAAAAACTGTTGAAATGAAATCAATATATAACATTACACATAACCAGGAAAATATTAACAAACATTTTATCAAACAGGAAGCATACGAGTACCACATTCAAAAATGGAACACTGGCAATCAACGCCAAGATTCAAAACTACTACGGTAAAAGACAAAAGAGAAATTTCACCTTATATTAAAACAACAAACAGATATTGAACTACTATCTAAACTCAGATTAAGTTCTCATTGGCTGAATATATATGGAAACTGGATGCCATCAGAAGGCCAAAAATTGAAAATTAAAGATGAGATACATTTCATGGCTTCATGCAAACTATTCACTGAACAAGGAAAGACATTGTACTAAATTTTCTTAAAATCAAATGACCAGTTCATATAGTCAACACAAACAAAAAACTATTACTAATAAAACTAATAGACTATATTGAAAGACAATAACAATTAGAAAACAATTCTTTGAATGATTTTATCATTATTAAACTTTTAGTTAAACAAATATTTATAATTCAAATTTATACCTTTATTACACTTTTTAACCAAACGAGAAATGTTTCTTTAAGGTAGTAATAAAGAATTATCTTATATTAAATAAATTGCAAACAGTCCTGACAATGTTTGCACAATGATGAATGATTGATACCTGGCCACAGTACAAAGGAATGCGAGAATACTCAAACAAGCAAACAGAGATTAATCATGTTTGTACAACATAACTGTGTCGTTCTATGCTGGCAAATCAAGGTCTGAAAATAGTTCAAAAGACGATTGCTGACATTGAAATCACCAACAACACTGCTAACAAGCAGTAATGATAGCTTTATATTATCTACAACATAGAACCACAAAATGCCATATTCACAGGTTTCTCAGTCAGATAATATCACTACTATGGTTTGTCGTTCAATGTACATTTCAGCCATTTTCAAGCAATTCAATATTAGCGCAAACCCAGTCAATCAAACTAGTACTACCGTACTCAGTGGGTAATCATCGGATTTCTTCACTTTTTTCATTGGTTGTAGACAGTGGCGGATCCGGGGGGTCATGCCCCTCCCCCCCCAAGCGCATGACGATTCGTATCATCTGGATTACGCATAGCTTCTCTGCGATTTACGATCCGTATATCTTAAGCGTAGCTTGGACCCCCCCCCCCCAGTACATTTTGCTGGATCCGCCACTGATTGTAGATGCAGTATAAATGAACAATAAGTTTTCAGGATTCTTTTGAAAATTTACGCATTCTAGAGATTTGACTGCCTGAATGTAAAAACAGAAACCACAGACTAGTAAAACACTTTTGTGTTATTACATATGTAGCTGACCATGTGTTTGAACATTCAATAATTTGTTTGGAATGCAAGCCAAAATATCAACTCCATGATTATCTAACAGCCATGCTTTCTGCAGACACATAGTCATTACTTTGCTTTCAGTAAAAACTTACCAATAACACCCAAGGGTGTTGAAAAAATCATTTGATATTTAACCAATAAACAGTTAAGAGCATCTTGGGTCAACAAACAATCTAACCAATATATGGTAAATGCAGCAGAGATATTGGGCTTTTGAAATAAGAATGACTTCATATAGAGAAGACTCTGTAGTTTTATGTAAAAATAACAATCCTAATTTGTATCATTAATGGAATAAAACTGTTAGTTTTGCTTACCCTGAGATTTTGATCTTTGAATGGAGGATCAAGCCATTCTGGGATTGAACAATTTTTATTTTCTACATCAGACAATAGGTTAACAACCATTTCTTGTAGTTCATCTAGTGTTTCTGTAAAGACAAGAATATATTAATGACTAAACCTGGATGATATAGTATTGGTGTGGCACCCCTGGATGATATATAGTATCAGTGTGGCACCACTGGATGATCTAGTATCAGTGTGCACCTCTAGATG